CCTGACACAAGCCATGATATTTTCAATAACCTCATATGCATGTGAGAGCTGGACAATGAATGAGGAAGACCTTAGCAGAACTGATGCATTTCAGTTGTGGTGTTGGTGAAGAATATTAAATGTACCATGGATGGCTAGAAGAATGACAAGATCTGTGTTGAAGGAAGTACAGCTAGAATGCTCCTTAGATGTGAGACTGACCAGATTTTGTCCCTCATGCTTTGGTCATATTAGAAGGATCCAGTCCCTGAAGAAGGATATCATGCTAGGTAATTTAGAGGGTCAGCAAAAAATGGGAAGACCCTGAGTGAGATGGACTGACACAGGGACTGCATTGTTGGGCTCAAGCACTGTAAGGATTGTGAGGATGGCAGCAGACAGGCAGTGTTTCGTTTCGTTGAACACAGGGTTGCTATGAGTCAAAACCAATTCGATGGCACCTAACAACAGCGACACCTCAGAAGGTTGATATGGTGCCTCAATGAGATAATGAATGAAAGTATAACAAATGCTCAGTAAATGCTTGTTGTTGAGGAGGCCTCATTGCTTTACCTCTTTTAATTGCATGGGGTTAGTTCTCAAGTGAAAAGCTGCTACCTAGTAGAAAATTCACTCTAAACTAAAAAAAAAAAAAAGTGTATACCAAGTAAATGGTAATTCTTCACAGGGAGAAAATTTTGACTTTGATACTGTGGGTAGTTTAGATTAAGAAGATTTCACAGGGTGAGTTTAGAACATACTGATTTTTAAGTATTCTATTTGAAGATAGTTCAGAGTAAGTTGATGTTCTTTAAAGTCCTTGCTAAAACAAAATATATATATGCTTTTTTTTTTATATAGGGGGAGTTTGTTGCTTGTCTCCTGTCCCTTTTACGACAGATGACAGATAGACATTATCAACAGCTTCTTGATAGTTTCAATACAAAAGAAGATCTAAGGGTAAGTGACATTTAAAAAAAAAAAAATTGAATATGCCTTTTTCGTTTCTCTTGGTCTTACCTATCACCGTTCAGATAGTCCCTTGACAGTTGCCTTGCCTGTTCCCATTAAATTCTGAGCTATTTTTTTTTTAAACCAAATTTCATCCACAGACATGCTCATCCAGTTAGATCTTTTAAGATTTCTGCCACTCAAGTAGAACAGTTCACTCTATTTTGAACAAGAATTTCAGCTTTTAAACACTTACCAAAGTTCAGTAAACTAGAAAAAGAATAAGAGGACTAAGGAAGGAAGAACAAATAGACTAACAAAGGGTGAACGTATAAATATAGTAGCTGCCTTCATCCCTCTGAAACCACCATGAGAACTTCTGACAACAATGTTCTGAGGGACCAACATTCTATTTGATATTCTGTATCAGCTGTCATCTAATCTATATGCTGTGCTAGTCCACCAGGCTAACCTCACATGGAAAAATATGGGTGCCAGGCTTATAAATATCTGACTTTGCTGAGGTTTGGGGAATTTTGATGCTTCCTTCAGTGGTATCCACTCAAAGCTTGGAAGTTGATCCTCAGAAGAACGAATGATCTGCCCTCTGTCCTTATTTAGTTTTATTTCTCTTCCATCTCCCATTTTCCAGATAAGCCATGATAATGGAAGGAAGGGTAAATGTTGGTGTTAGGGATTGTAGGGCAACAGGCACAGTCACCCCATGTGTGCTTAATTGGGAGCCTTCACAGAGCCGGTGGGGAAAGTTGGTCGGTTTTTGTATGCATGGTGGTGGATAAGGGTCACTGGACTCCTCACTGACTCAGAGATTTTGCATGATTTCTAAAGAGTCTTTGAGTTGCTTTGGTGCAGTTGGCAAGCTGAGTCCTAGGAAACAGAGAATGACTTTGGGGAAATCTAATCTATATAGCAATCAGTCAGTTGGTACATGCCTAGTGCCTGAAAATAATTATGTTGTTCATGCTTGCATTCAATCTTGAAGTTAGAAGGAAGACCAAACAAAAGACTTTAAAATTTTTCCCCAGATATTCATGCATACCCAAGTCCATAGAGATAGTCACTCTTAACACAAAGGGATAGATATCGTCATGGACTACTTTCTGTGCTAAATGCACGTGTATATTTATTTAAAATAGAATCATACTACTCACATTGGTCTACATTTTTCCCCCATAATAATATATCATGAATATTATGTTGACCATTATCTCATTCTTTAGAAACTCATTATATAGAAGCTATATAATTTATTTACTCATTTTCCTTTTGATAGGCATTCAGGAGTTTCTGGTTTTGACCATTAAAAATGTTACTGCAGTGAACATCTTGATAAATGTATCTTCATGAACTTATGCCCTTATTACTGTAAATTCCTGAAAGAAGAATGTATGAACCATAGGATATGCACATTTTAAGTTCCAGTAGATTCTGACAAATTATATATTGAGATTTTCAAAATAATATATTTGTTGTTCTTTATTCCGTCACTGCTTTTATTCTTTCTTTTCTTTTTTTTTTTGCTTTACCAATGGTTCTCTGAATCAGAATGAATTTTAAAAGTGTGTACTTCTCAAGTATCTACTAAGACTAGTGGTGTTTTAACCTCATTCTTACTTGAAGAACTTGGATATCAACAGGGTTACCATTAGAGTGGTTTCCATTTCTGACTTCTTGAACACAGTGCCATTTCTTCTCCTTGGTCCCAAGGTACTTGAAAGAGTGATGTGAGTCACAGTGTTAGAACACAAAGTGTGTAGGAGCAAAGACCTGGGGGCTGGTTCTTTGTATCGTCTAATTTTTTTCCTTCTCTAGAACATGGCATTATTTTGCAAATGAACAAAAGCAAAAAACTAGGTAGTGATTAAGGTTTTTTCTTCCTTCTGTAGTCAATAATTTTGTATTATACACCCACCTTGTACTGGGGGCTATAGTTTTGTCCATCTCCTGGGTATTTCATGCATATATAGTGGTTATACTCCTGTTCTTAGTTGATTATGACTTTTCATATAGAATTGTGGGGGTCTTCATTTAAATATGAGGTTATAAGTGTTCTGGATGTACAGCACTGTTATAACATTGAGTTGTCTCCCATATGCAAGCCCACTAGATTTTAAAAATCATATCTGATCAGATCTTTATCCAACTTTTAAACTCTGAGTATTCCATACTTAAGGAGCTCTGGTGGCACACTGGTTAAGCATTCAGCTGCTAATCAAAAGGTCAGCAGTTCAAACCCACCAGCTGCTCCACAGGAGAAATAAGAGGTAGTCTGCTTCTGTAAAGATTTACAGCCTTGGAAACCCTATGGGACAGTTTTAATCTGTCCTGTGAAGGTCAGTATGAATCAAAATCAACTTGATGCCAGTGGTTTGGTTTGTATTCCCTACTTACTTACAAAATGAGACCCAGTGTCTTTGTCCCATCTTTCCTAACCTCAACTACTTCCCAGCCTCCTCATCTTCCACTCCCTTCCGAACATCTTTCACTCCAACCACTTAAAATTATTTATATGTTCCAAATAAACTATACACAGTACGTAATTTTTAATTCCTTCAAGTCTTTTCATTAACTTGAAATACTTGTCTGATTACCACCTCCCTTCCACTGTCTGGGAGCTCTGGTAGCATAGTGCCTAAGGCACTTGACTGCTAACCAGAAGGCTGGTGGTTCAAACCCACCAGCTGCTCCTTGGAAGGAAGGTTGAGCAATCTACTTCCATAGTGGTACTGCCTCAGGAACCCAAGGAGGGTTCGCTATGAGTCAGGTCCGACTCCATGGAACTTAACAACAACATTCAATTGTCTAATTCCATGCCTTCAACTCGTGCTATAAAATCTAGCTCAGACATCACTTTCTTCACGAAGCTTTCAGAGACTACGGTCTCCATATCCCCTGCTCTGTGGTAGCACACAGCATTGCATTGTCATTACTTACTGTGTTCCTTGCGTTCTTGAAGACTGTGGACTCCTATAGAGATTATGTTTTTGTGTCCCAAGCACAGATTCAATCACAATTGAATCCTGATTGAATGAATGAACCCTCTTAATATATTTCTGCCTGCTTCATGTGCCATTTTTTCTGTATAGTTATTTTGATTTGTAGTCTTTATTTGAAAATATTGATTATAGAAAAATAGCTCTCAAAGATGTAAGACCATTTGGGGGTTATTTTTACATAATATACTTAATGATTCAATTATGAGGATATAAAATTTAAATGTGATCATAATTAACACTCTGTAGTTGAATTCAAATCCCACATCAAAGGTGTCACACATTTGAAATTTGTAGCAAATTTTTCAAATAACATTTGACTACTGTATAAGCAGATCCTAGATAACAAATAAGAGCCGTTCCTAAATGTGTCTTTAAGTCGAATTTGTAGATGCATATGGGTCTTATTTATACGTCCTTCTATGTCTCTCCAATTCTATTTCATAAACCATTTTTCATCTTATACTATTCTTATTATCATGATATCACATGTAAATACAAATTTTTTACATTGTGCAGTCAGAAACATTCCTTAATTTGATCCTCTTCTACCCCTGCATAAAACCTATCAGTGTCTCAGCATCTCCACATTGCCCTCAGGATACATGTAATACCTTTGAAGTAACAAAACCCTTCATAATCTGGTCCCTGTTTTATCTTTCAGCCCCATTTCATGCCACTGATCCTTGTGATCTAGGCAACCCTGTGCCCTTTCTTGCTTCTGAGACTTGAAGGGGCTGTTCCTTCTACCAGGTCTCAGACTTACTCAATTTGGGTTTATTAGTGTGGTTATTAGCTTAGTAGTCATCTTTCCTACCAAACTGTGAGTTCCATGAAGACAAAGACCATACTCACGTTCCTATGGTGTGGTGTGTTGCAGGCATACAGTAAATATTTGTTGCATGAATGACTAAAAGTATATACTTTACAAGCAAGTATTCCTAGCATCTAACACGGTGAGGTGCCTGGCACATAGTAAGCTCCCAATATGTATGAATGAATAAATATTAGTGATTATTTCTAAAATCATGACAGCTGCTCCTGCTTTCTTTTCCTCTTTATTATTAACTTGAATATGGGACTGGTTGGGCATTCCTACTTCCGTAGTGATACTGCCTCGGAAACCCAAGGAGGGGTTGCTATGAGTCGGGGCCGACTCGATGGCAAACAACAACAACAACAACAACAACATGGGACTTTTTATTGTTTTGGGAAAGTTAGCAAGAACTTTGCTTCCTAAACTGCCTCACTGGAGAAGAGATGTTTCTGCAAAGTAGCATCTCCCTATTTCATTTTTGTTTTGAGCCCTGATATGACGAATGCCAAGTCACCATGTTGTGGTATTTGAAGTAAACAAAAAAAGAAACTGTTCCCCAGCTGCCAATTTGGAAGTGGTGGCATATGAAACGCTTATTTCTGTGTGCTCTTCAAACAGGAATATTATGAGCAGAGCAAAGTTCTTTTTAAATTCTAAAAACAATCTGCTACTTAGTCATTGCTCTGTGTGTGAAATCAAAGCTTTTCTAAAAAAAAAATAATAATAATAAGCACACATATTTGGCAAAATGACCAGAGCTCAAAAGTACTTAGAGAAGGCAGACAAGGAAATGCCACTGCACTTGGGGTCAGGGAGGAGAGAGAATGTTTAAGAAACCTAGCATACATGTCGTAGTACTTTAAAATATTGGAACTGTGCATTTAAAATGAAACCTGTTGCATGGAAGTTGACAAGAAATGTTTGCCTGAACTAAATTACATACAAATACCACAAAGGAAAGGAACCCTTGTGGTGCAATAGCAAAGTCTCCCAGCTGCTAACCAAAAGGTTGGTGGTTCGAACCCACCCAGCTGCTCCATGGGAGAAATACTTGGCAATTTGCATCCATAAAGATTACAGCCAAGAAAACACTATGAGGAGTTCTACTTTGTCCTGTGGTGTTGCTGTGGGTCAAAATTGGCTCTACGACAACTCAAAACTACAAAACCACAATCAAAAAACAAACTCACTGCCATCGAGTGGATTCCAACTCATAGTGACCCCTTCTTGGGTTTCCCAGGCAGTATCTCTACAGGAATAGATTGCTCAGTCTTCATTCTGAGAAGTAGCTGGTGGTTTGAACCACCAGCCTTCTGGTTAGCAGTCAGATGCCTTAGACACTATGCCACCAGAGATCCTATGGAAATGTTTATTTTATCACAATGTGAGCTGATGAAACATTTGCCTACAATTTAGGAATTAGACCCTTTTTTTTCTTTTGCTTTCTATGTGAATAGGTAGATGATCATATCTTTTTTTTTTTTTTTTTTCAATCTTCTCTAACTACAAGGGCCCTTAAAGCCCTACATTTTTCAGGTATGAGAACTCAGGCCCAGAGAGGTAAAATAAATCTCCAAGGTCATTGAGCTAGTTAATTACAGAGCCAGGTTTTGAATCTAGATTGTCTGGCTGTATAGTGTTCTTTTACTTTTGTTACAAGATTTCCATAAATGAATGGTTCCATAAAGGTCATTGGACCTTCAATGAATACCTTAGAAAGCTCCTGTGAAACAACTGAGGTGTTTTGTTTGTTTTTTTTTTAAGGGAAGTATAGAGTTACATCAACACACAACTGAATAAAATGTCACATACTGCTAGGCCTTTTATTTTTGTGAGATAACTGAGAATAGGAGAATGAGATGGCCCAGGAAAGGTTGTCTTTCCCCACCTCCTACACCAGGAATACCTTTTCCTTCATCCCCAGAACTATAAAACATGAACAGCTGAAGTTGCTAGCCTGTAAGATAGATGTCTGGCCTCCTGTAGCCAAACTTTTCAGCTAATTTTTGTTCTCTGCAACTAATATCACAACCACACACACAAGCACAGCCGTCCACTAAAGATAGGGCCTCTATTTTCCAATTTTCTTCAGAGATTTTTAGAAGAGAAAATGAAACTTCAGTATGTTAGAATTTATTTAAATTATTCCTGACTGATTGTAAACTACAAAAAATAAATAACCCCTGCTTTCAGATTTCTTTGATACCTATCATATCAAATTCAATAAGATAAGAAATTGAAATGAAATATTATTCTTTGAAATAAAAATGCAAAGTTAGTATTTGTTGTTGTTGCAAGGATCATATGTATCCATATCTGGGAAACCCCATATAATCACCTGAAAAATGTTTTGGAAATGCATTTAAAATGGCTTCTTACTGTTTAAATATGCTAATATCCTACTCTCCCAAGGGAGGTCCAGAGTGTGAAGTGTTGCTTGAAATTACCTGACCTGCAGTGGAGTAAATTTAAGGAAACTCTCTCCAGTGATTGTGCAGACGTGAGCAGGATCAGTCTAGCCATTTAAAGACAAATGACCTAGTAGGCACATTTCCACATGGCATGTAACATGTGTAAATGAATGTGTGTCAATGCCAAAAAAGCTAAAACAAATTCTTGTCAAAATATTTATGGGCTTGATCCAAGCTGCTAGAGTGTATGTGTGTGTGTGTGTGTGTGTATGTATATGTATATATATATATATATATATATATATATATATGGCTGCCACATGGCTCTGAGTTTTTAGATTCTTCCTTTCTATCTTCTATTGGCATGTGACAACCATAATCTTACATTCCAGCAGCTTAAATGTTTAACATAATGTGTTGTTGGGTTTGATTAAAAAAAAAAAACCTCTGTGTTTTAGGTTGCTTTTTATTTTTAAGCAACACTGTACTGCTGCTTTCAATCAGATTGTTAGAGAAATATATTTCCTAGTATCACTTAAGATTATTAAAAAAAAAAAAATCAAATGGTTCCAGTTAATGTAAATCAAAGCTTGATTGAGCCAATCCCTTTTTGAGTAGGGATTGCCCCATTTCATTCGTTGAATGTGGTGTATTATCTCCTAGAGTCCCCTGAAAGTATCACATGCTACACCATTTTTGGTCCTAGTTCTTGTACTGTATCAAGAGGAGATACGTTCCTGTTTGACAATAGCTTCTTGTCACTGGTTTTTCCAGCTGTTCAGTTTAAAGATAATGTCTCAGTGAATACTGCTGCTCACTGGCATGGCCTGTATGTATACCTTGACACTCTCATACTATGAAGTCCTCATTAAAAACTCAAACTCACTGTCCTTGAGTCAGATCCAACTCATAGCGACTCCTCCTTGAGTTTCTGAGGCAATATCGCTATGGAAGTAGATTGTCCAGTCTTACTCCCGAGGAGTGGCTGGTGGGTTTGAACCACCAGCTTTCTGGTTACCAGTCAACTGCCTTAACACACATCCTCACTTGAATTTCTCCTGCATAGCATGCTCAGAGCAAGTCACTCAGATTCTATAAGCCTACACATATCCTATTAATACTGCGTTTTTATGACACACTCTAAAAAATAAGAGTTTTTGTTTACCATGCTTTTTTAATGAACATAACTTTCTAAATTTTGATACCAACTTAAACAATAGCAGAAAGAGTCCTGGTTACACAGTGGTTAGCACTCACTCAGCTGCTAATCAAAAGGTCGATGGTTTGAACTGACTAGATGCTGCACCAGAGAAAGATGAGACTGTCTGTTTCCATAAAGATTTACAGCCTGGGAAACCCTATGGAGCACTTCTGCTATGTCCTATAGGGTCACTATGAGTCTGAATTACCACGATGGCAGTGGGTTAAAGGATAGCAGATCTGAACCAGGACTGTATATAGTTCTCTTGGGTTGAAAAGTGTTTAGCATACTATAATAGAAGGAAGGGAATCTATTTGTTTGCCAATCTTCTATCACTAGTGTTCCATTTATTTTTCCAGAACCTACATTTTTTAGAGGTTGTGAAGAAAAATGAAAGGTCATTTCAACAGTGCATGAGAAGGAAAAAGGAAAGGGAACATTTGGGAAGCATACCAAGACACTAGTGGAGAGGGTGTGACTCCTTCTCCTGGGTAAACCATTAGAGTATATTTATGGCTCCATTCTTTTCTATAATTGCTTTGGAAATGATAGCAGTAACACTTAGCTTATTTCTTTTGTATGTGTGTGTGTGTGTGTATTGTTAGTTAAAATAAAGGCAGTTAAATGGTCTGTTTCTTCCTTATCCAAGGATTTCCTGCTGCAGATATTTACTGTGTTCCGAATATTGATTCGCCCAGAGATGTTTCCAAAGGACTGGACTGTTATGCGCTTGGTTGCTAACAAGTAAGACATTTACATTGATGATAATAGTGGCTCAGTGTCTGGGGGAGAGGAGAGTATGAAATGATCTTTTTTTTGCCTGATCTCAAGTTTACAACCTCTATGTTTTTTTGTTTGCCTCTTAATTAACTTCTCTCAGTCCAATTTTTAAATTTTTATTATTATTAGTTTTGAGTAGGTGATATGTTAATTTAGTTCAGAAATTAAGATCGTGTAACAATGTATGCATCGAATAGTCTCACTGTCACTTCTGTTCCTATCCACCCTCAGCCCCAGCCCATAGTAACCACTTTTATTTCTTCCATATCCTTCCAAGTTCCCTTATTCAGAGCCTAGAAGAAAGCATAATATAAATGCTCTTCTATACCTGGCTATTTTCACTTTAAAAATCCTGGTTGCCTTTTTCTAATTAATATGTAGAGCACTCCCATTCTTCTGTTTGTTTTCTTGTTTCGTCTATAGCTGTTTAATTGTCTGCTGAATGGATGTACTCTTAGCTTATTTAACCAGTTCCCTGTTTCTGGACACTTGAGTCAGTTCTGATTTTGCTTAATTCATTTCAACTCAGCAAAATACATTAAGCATCTGCCATGTACCAAGCAATGGGATAAGACATGAACTTTCAGTTGGACACATGGAACCTGAAGTTCCTATTGTATATCTCAAGTAACTTGTCCAATATTAAATAGCTTACAAGTGACAAAACCAGAATTTAAGCCCAGCGTTCTGATTCTAGGAGTCCTGGTGGTGCAATGGAAAAGCACTCAGCTGCTAACTGAAGGGTTGGTGGTTTGAACCCACCAGCTGCTCCACAGGAGAAGGATGTGGCAGTTTACATCTATAAAGATATTCAGCCTTGACAATCCTATGAGTCAGTTCTACTCTGTCCTCTAGTGTCACAATGAGTTGGGATCTAATTGATGACAACAGTTTATATATTTGTTGTTGTTGTTATATGCTGTCGAGTCGGCCCCAACTCATAGCGAGCCCTCCTTGGGTTTCCGAGGCAGCATCACTATGGAAGTAGGATTGCCCAACCTTCCTTCCGAGGAGTGGCTGGTGGGTTTGAACCGCCAGCCTTCTGGTTAGTAGTCAAGTGCCTT